CTACTTAGTCACACTCCTATTGTGCATTGCTGTTTGGCTTGTCATACCAGCTTTTCAAGGGCTTGTGGATAGGAAGAGCCCACCTTCCTACAGACAGAGGCACTAGTGTCCTGCTGTGCTTCTGCTCCATAGAGATCCCTACTTCCAGCCAGTGCCACAAAAAGAGAAGCTGTTCTCCCATGGACCGTGGTAGGGAACTCCATAAGGTATCTATGTTTCCAAATTTGACTTGGCCATGGGGAGAGCTGTAAGGCTGGGGACATTATTCTCAGACCTTCCCATCTTCTTCCATAGTAAGAATAATACAGGGTGGCCACCAAAGCTCTTGCATGAAGTTTTGATGCAGCCAAGTGGAGCCATGCTCTATGTGGAGACATCAATTGTCTAACAGCACAAAATAGCCAAAACCCAAGGTTTGGGACAGAAAGTGCAAGGAAAGGATTGACTGAAAGGGAAACTTCATGCTTCCCACATAAGAGAAACTTCTTCTATTTCTGTGCCCACCATCAGGTTAGCCATAAGTTTTTTTAGCAAACACGGTTTCCTCTGAAGAATAATCTAGTATCTCATAGGTGCATGTCAGCAGTATGTAGGTGTCCTAGAAATGTACCTTTCACATGCTCCCATCCAAGCCCCTGTTAGCTGAGCATGTGACAAATGATGAAATCTGAACACAGAGTGGAGGCACTTGACAGCATCTCTGTTGGTTTCCCATCACTCAGCCCCTGCCCCACTTCACAGAGTTTTCTGCACAGGTCACCCAGCTCTTGCCATCATTTTACCTCAAACTGCTCTACTGCTCCCCTGGAAAATTTTGGGGTGCAGGTCCAGAGGTGCTTTGAACCCAGGTGCTGTGGTGACAGGTGACATCTCGGGATTTGCTGTAATGCAGACCAGAAGCTGGGCATTTCCAAGAGGAAGGCCCGAGAGTTATCTCTCAACCAGAGACAACTGCTGCCCACAAATCACTCTCCTGAGCCATGTGAAGAACAAAGTTCACATATATTTTATAGCATTTAAAAGTTTAATAGAAAGACAATTAGGAGATAAAAATAAAGTATACAGATACGGCCGGGTGTCTCTGCGTTCAGCCAAGAGAGCACCCCTTACTAACAAAGGATTGTTCCTTAAAAACAGAGTCCTACCACATATTCATAAATTCTGATACATGATTCAAACATTCTTCTTAAGTTTTAGATGTTTCTTTGTTTAGTTTTTGACTCCCCCCCTTCTCAATAAATCAATCTTCTTGGCTCCACTGAGTTTTACATTCTCTGATAACAGAAATGCAATAAATTCCTCCCCCAGAGCTCTGGTCACTGCTGTCCTCATCTGGACAAGATAATCTAAGAATGGAGGGGCATCTCTAACTATCTTTTTCAGTCTTTGGGTTATACAAACAAAAGTAGCTTTAGTTTTAATAATATGCCATAGCTCAACACATATGTATATTATACTACTATTTCTAAGTTTCATCAATAACAGAAATAGGAGGAACTATATTAATATAACAAAGTTTTCTAACCTTATACATCTAACATTCATTTTATTATTTGCAAAAAGCCAACAATATAATATGTATCTATAACAGCCAGAAAGACCCTTCACAGCTGAGAGAGAGAGCCCTGGGGAATGTCCCATGTGAGACATGAGACAGGTGAGGGGCCTTGGCAAGGCAGGCAGAGCGTGGGCTCAAGTGCAGGGAAGGTAATGCACAGCCAGCAAGGCTCAATGCAGAGGCCAGCCCTAGGCACAAGCTGATGAGTGTGCACTTCCTAGGCATGTAAAACACAGTTGTAAGTGATATATGCATATGTCAACAAATCCCACCTGGCCTGTACACAGCCATTAGCATCTGGCAGCTTGCTGTGAGCACAGGTGAATTATGGCTTAGGGGCATGTGCTTTGGGGCAAGGTTAAAAGGTGATTCCTGTATGGGGTAAGTGGATTAATATGACTGGACACGATGCCGGCTTCTCCTCTCCCTTCTGACGGTGTAAATCAAGAGCAACTGCACCAAAGTCAATACATGGATTAGATTCATTGGTGCAAAGGGGCTGAAAAGCAAATGATTTTAAAAGAAAGGACACCTCGATTACAAGATGGGGAACAGAAACAGTGAAAAATGTGGTTGCTTTGCATGGCTTCCTGTGGTGCTTTTTTATGGCCCTGCTCCTTCTGTGCTAGCTTTATCCCAACAGGTGCTCTCACAAACCTGCCTGCAGCAGAGCTCCTACAGTCCTCCTTGTCACTGCACCGTGGGGAAACCCTGTCTCTGCTCTGCATAGCAGAGGGACCCCCGTGCTGACCTTGCTGCAGAGAAATGCTGGCTCCCGGGGAGATGGAAGGAGATTTAGGCAATGCAGCATTAAACATCGACTCAGCACCTCAATCCAACCTGGCCTTGAGCACTTCCAGGGATGGAGCACCCACAGCTTCTCTGGGCAACCTATTTCAGTCCCTCACCACCCTCAGAGTAAAGAATTCCTTCCTCATATCTAATGAAACCTACCTGACTAGCCCAGGCTGCCCAGTCCATGCTGCTTCTACTTGTAAAAAGTCCATCTCCTGCTCTCTTGTGGGCTCCTTTAGATAATGGAAGGTGCTTTAAGGTCTCCCCAGAGCCTTCCCTT